GGGGGGGGGGGGGAGAGAGAGAGAGAGAGAGAGAGAGAGAGAGAGAGTCTCATCGGCCTGTGCGGGGTGCTCCGCGCAGCCCGCGGGCGTCTCAATATATACACTAGACAAATCATGGAGCTGTATCTTTCCATGTTCAAGCCGAAGATTCACTCTCGTTTTGCACCTTTAAAGTGAGGCTCTCTCTCTCTCTCTCTCTCACACACACACACACACACGCGCGCGCGCGTGCGCAGGGAGGAGGGGTGTATTTTGTTCGAAAAGAGAATGAATCTTCCCCGATAATGGAGAATGATTCATTCTCATTTATTGCTTGAGGGGTCGGAGGGCGTGACTGGGGGCTCGGCGGGGGAGGCACGCACACACACATCGGGAGATAGAAAGAGAGAGGGAGAGAGGGAGAGAGAGAGAGAGAGAGAGAGAGAGAGAGCCTCGCGGCACTATGCTCGAAAGGTGCAAAATGAGAGTGAATCTTCCGCTCGAACATGGAAAGATACAACGCCATGATTTGTGTATGTGTATGTCAAGACTACCCAACAGACTCCTGCAGTCTCGACGGGCTGCGCGGAGCACCCCGAACTTGTCGCCGAGTCTCTCTCTCTCTCTCTCTCTCTCTCTCTCTCTCTCTCTCTCTCTCTCTCTCTCTTCCCCGCCGGTGCATTGGGAGAAACGGGGTACAACGGTTTTCTTCATTGTTGTTTTTCCTTTCTCGAAGAATGGTTTTTTTTTTTTTTTTCCTCTTTTTTTTTTTCATGCACCTACCGGTAGCTCAAGGCTCAGCAAGGTTCGGGTTACCGGTAGGCTGAGCCACGGGCCTTAACAACCGCTAGGTACTAGTGGCTTAAGTCTGGCTACCATCACATTGCCATTAGACTGGAGGATCAGCACAAAAACGCATTTCAAACCAGGTACGGTCTATACGAGTTTGTGGTGATGCCTTTTGGCCTTTGCAATGTGTTGGGTACATTGCAACACGCCATGAATAGGGTATTCCATTACTACTTGGAAGTTTATTGTCGTGTACCTCAACGATATTCTTATCTTTAGTAAGACCTCGACGATATTATTATCTTTAGTAAGACTGTCCAGGAGCATGCGCAGCACTTGTATGTTGTGCTAAGCCTCCTTAGACAGCACAAGTATAAGATCAAACAGGAGAATGCGAGTTCCATTGCGCAATAGGGTTAGGCCCGAAGATGCAAAGGTGGCTAGCATTCTTGCACTTGGGTCATGAGGCATCCGCCGATGGGGTTAGGCCCGAAGATGCAAAGGTGGCTAGCATTCTTGAATCTTGACTCGCCAAGACCTCAGTTTGTGACGGAGGTCAGATCTTTCTTAGGGATGACCGGCTACTACCACAATTTCGTTAAGAATTATAGTATGGTGGCCGCCCCTTTGACTGAACTAACACCCCTTGAGACACCATGGGAATGGACAGACGAATGTGATGGAGCCTTCAAACGTCTGAAGTATACTCTCATGCTTCCTAATCATGAGAAGCCATGCATCGTGACCACTGACATGGCTTAACAAGAAGGGAAGAAGTTGAGGCTGATCAAGTGCCCGAGTACGAAGATGCCATCTAAGAAGATGAAGTCCACCTATGAGAGGGAACTCTATCCCTTTTACAAAGCCCTTGTGAACTGGCGACATTATCTGCTGGGATGGTTCTATTTGAGGACCGACCATTAGACACTTGGGTGGATCAATCCAGCGCACTCAAACGTTGGATTGAAGTCATAGATCAATATAACTTCAAGTGAAGGGAGAGTATAAGAAGGTTGCTGATGCGTCGTCTCGCAGGGCAGACTACCTAGGTGCACTAATTACTGAACTTGGCTTATCCGACAATGTAACTCTACCGCTGGTAGATACCTACAAGGAAGATTCCATCATGATGGACATCATACACAAACTAGAACAAGGCCACATCTGACGAGTTTGTGATAGTGGATGTGTTACTCTTTCTTGAAACAGCAGGATTTAAACGACTATGTGTGCCGCCTCGTGAGATTTTGCGTAGTTTATTTTTAGGAGAGTGTCATGATGCGACAGGGCACTTCGGCTACAATAAGACTTGTGCTAAGTTCGGCAATTCTGGTGGCCTAGTATGCTTGGCTATACAAAGAAGTACGTCCAGACTTGTCAAGTTTGTCAGCGGGATACAATAAGACCTGTGCTAACTTAGTACGGCAATTCTGGTGGCCTAGTATGCTTGGCTATACCAAGAAGTACGTCCAGACTTGTCAAGTCTGTCAGCGGGATACAATAAGACCTGTGCTAGCTTAGTACGGCAATTCTGGTGGCCTAGTATGCTTGGCTATACAAAGAAGTACGTCCAGACTTGTCAAGTCTGTCAGCGGGATAAGCCGCCAACTCGAGCACCGCTCGGGTTACTCAAGCCGTTGCCCATTCCTGCAGGTCAGGGACAGAGTCTCCATGGGCTTCATGGATACCCTCCCGACCATCAAGAGTGGCAAGAGGCACATCTTCATCATAATAGACAGGTTTACTAAGTACACTAGACTAATCCCCATGCCAAAGATTGCCAACACCGAGCACGTCATCGAGTTATTCATGGATAACTGGGTGCGAAACTTAAAACTGACTAAGACCATCGTGAGTGACAGAGATGTCCTGTTCACCACTGAAATGTAGAAGAAGGCTGCTGAACAGATGGGCAGACTTGTCAAATCTGTCAGCGCGATAAGCTGCGAACTCGACCACCATGCATACACCCCTTCCCAAAACCTTGAAGTCCTTAAACCCTAAACCCTAAAGTATCACTGAAAAGCATGTTATGACAGTCGGAAGACACAGAGGCGGCCTCCTTCAGTCTTAGCAACCTCTGTTTCTCTCTTCATCAGAAAATTTCATTGGGATCTGCGACAGCATATGCACTGTCAGTTGATAAAAATGAAAGGTAACGCAAGGAAGAAGACACATCAGAGTTGCAGATAGTCCAGTCTCTCTGCGTAATAGATGTAACGAGGAGAGAAAAGGGAGACAGGAGGAGAGGGAGAGTATTACCACCACAGGAAAAAAAGTGAACCTCGAATTACCTCTCAAGAAATTGACACCATTGCCTGAAAGAAAAAAGCACGTTATGACATCAGCAAACTCACCTGAAATAGTATTCAATCTGTTTGGAAATCCTTGCCCGAAGTGGTAACACTGCTTCAGGACCCTGGATGATGCCAGGAGCTCCGAAGCGTGGATACTGGGAGGGTCGAGGTGCAACTCCTGCTGCCGAAGTGGGAACGAAATACATCGATGACCCTGCAGCACAAACGTCCAGGCACGTTGCAGTTGGAACTCGGAGTTTCTAATGGATTCATTGACGTCAACTTCAACAGGCCTGCCAGGAGGCACAGCCGATTGGCAGTCATAAATCAGGAACAGCACCCATCAATGCACACAAAGGAGCAGTTAACAGTCAATGGAGCGACACAATGGTGACCATACATGATAAGGGAGTGACCACAGATGGTACACCTAAAAGGCCAGTGATGCAGAGGAGATGTCAGCCTTCTCAAGTCACACTCTCAAGCTGAAAGATAGATTGCAAAGTGACATAAGCAGAGGAAACGTAGAAGGGAAGTGAGCGCTATCGGACCCGTTAGAAACAAAGAAAAGCCACATAAAGAACTGTGCATTGCACACACCCACAATGGGCTGATATATAAACAATAAGGTCCAACAGTGCAGGCACAACAGAAACAAACGAGTTTGGTGCCTCTGTCCTTTCAGCTGAAGAAATAAACCCCAAAGGGCATAAGAAACCTAGGCTAGCAGAGCTGCATTGCTGGGCACCCCCGTTCAGGCCGCCTGCCCTCTGACCACCTGGGGCAACACGAGCATGTGAAAACTCCAGGTTCATCTTTGCTGTCAGTTGGGCTTTTCTGCACCCAGTGAAAGCAGCCCAAATCCAGGCCTTTTCTTTGTTTTCCAGTGCTGTCCATTGATGGGGAAAGGTGGCTATAAACGGGGCTTAAAAGGGGCCTAAAGGGGTTTAAAGGGGGCTGCGCTAGTTTGATTCTTCTATTTTCTTTCTAACCTTCGGCACAGTTAGGAATTCTGAGGTGACCCTCAGCGAAAAGTTGTTTGCATTGATGTTCTACACAACGTTTTTTTTCAGAATTAGTTTTTTTTCCCCCTTTTGCGCCGGGGGTGTCCTAGATGCCACCTGGGGGTCATGCCAGGCTAGGCAGCCGGGCAGCCGTCCGTGGAAGAAACAAGAAACAGTTTGTCCGATGTTTTCCCATGGATATGTAACTTCACCCTAGCTAGGCCTTTGTCTGATGTTTTCCCATGGATACGTAACTTCACCCTAGCTAGGCCTTTACATTGTGATGGCCATGAGGGATGGAATACGATGAGAAATGAAGAGGCCAGATATACGGGCGAAATAGGAAAACGGGAACGGATTGGCAGGAAGACCAGAGTACCGACAGAGAGAGAGAAGGGACACCAATGCCCAGACAAACCGAATCGCACAGGGATGCTCAATTAAGTAGGGCAGCAAACAAAAGACCATTCTTTGCCACTCTTTCCAAAGACCACCACAAAGTTCGGAGTGATGCATCCGTGAACAAAACAACTACGTGCTTCAACCAGCCAAAAGAAGGCCAAGCAGTAAAGACCCATATCATTGAGCAGAGCGGAGTGTATTAGATAAAAGATAACTAGAGAAAAAAGTGGACAAAAGGCGAGGAATCGGCAAGAAAGGAAGAGGGACGTGAGGAGAAAAGAGAGGAAAAGAGGGGACAGGAGAGGAAAAGCGTGTATCAAGAGCAGAAAGGAGGGGAAAGGAGGGGGAAAGGGGGGAAACAGGCGGGCACCAATGAGAAATGGGGCACAAGTGGGAACAGAGAGAGAGGGGAAGGAAAAGGAGGAGGAAATAGGAGGCAAAAGAAGAAGATGAGGCCAGAGGAACGACGGCAGCGGGATACAGAAAACCAAGGATTGAAGGGTGCCATGAAGAGTGGACAGGAAGGGAGACGACAAAAGAGGAGACATGATAAGAGATTAAAAATGAGAGAGAGACGGAACCTCGTATAACCCGCCATGACCCAGTACCAGTATCCCTGCCTGCTTACTGGTACTTCTGACCGCTGTGATCAGCTTTGCTTGAACGTCTAACAACCTGCTTCTCTGAATGATTCTATGCCATACCAAACAATGAGCTCCTGCTCAAGAAACTCCGTTCTTAAACCGGAGACAAGGAGACGGACAAGGAGGCAAGTGGAAGGGCAATGGGGGTCCATACCTCCACGATGAGCACCCGGCCCTCCAAAACCATGAACCGAATTGTTGGAGATAAGTGGGCTCATGGGAGCCCGCTGAAAACGGGGAGGCTGCTGGGATCCAGGTGTGCGTTCACTGGTAGCATCATGAAATCCACCCCTACCAGCATAGTTTCTCGGTCCCCAAGTGAACCCCCCTCCACGCACTTGGTCCCTTCCTCCACGACGACCTCCTGTGTGGAACCCACCCCTGGCAAACCCCCTGCCGCGAGGATACTGATGCTGATGCTGAGCAGCTCCACCCCCAGAATGTGGTGAAAGCAGTGGCTGCTGCTGCGGCGGCGGCGGCTGCGGCCCTCCAGTCTGAGATCCCCCACCTGTACCTCCTTGACCCTGCGGCTGAGCAGGTTGCTGTGGATGCTGATTCTGGCTCTGAGGATGATGCCCATGCCCACCTCCTCCCACATGAGCACCACCCTGATTAGACCCTTTGTGTGGACCTCCTCCTCCCCCATGCTGTCTGTTCTGCTGACTAACTCCCAGGACACCAGCCTCCGCTGTTACCGACTTAGTAGAGCCTTCCACTGTTCCTGGCCCCTTAACATCCCCTGCTGGTCCAGCCTCCCCTCCGTTCTCTTTGGATCCAGCATTGCGGGCTGCTGCAGCCCCTTGCTGCCCTGCATCACCAGCAACGGCACCACTTCCGGTACCAGCCGAAGCATTCTGCTGCTGATGCAGCGGCTGCTGCGCCTGAGAGTATTTTTTCTGACCCACCCTATGTCTTCCGGCACCGCTGCCCGCAATCACTACCGACCTTGTAGACATCTGCACAGCGGCCTGCCACAAGATAGCAAGCAAATGTCAGAAGAAAAGGCTCTCATCCAGCAAGCACAGGTAAGGCACACTAAGGCCCTCTTCTCTTCTTCATCTACATACAAAATCAACTACATATCCACATTACCAGAGTGGCCCGGGATCACTTCCCCAGCCGGGCCAAATATGAATCAAAAAAAAATATATATATAGTCAAACAGAGCTGCCCGGTAAACCGTAGGCAGAGAGGGAGAAGAGGACAACAAACGAGGGGCTGTGGCACACTGTTTCGTCGGAGTTTCACCGACTCATATATATCGTCACAAACAGAACTGCCCGGTAAACCGTAGGCAGAGAGAGAGAAGAGGACAACAAACGAGGGGCTGTGACAAACTGTTTCGTCGGAGTTTCACCGACTCATATATATATCAAACAGAGATATAAATCGTCACATGGAGCTGCCCGGTAAACCATAGGCAGGGAGGAAGAAGAGGACAACAAACGAGGGGCTGTGACAAACTGTTTCGTCGGAGTTTCACCAACTCATCAGGAGGCTATTTTATTTTGGGAAAATTTGTCGGGCGCTCCTGTAATTTCCATTATTCTGTGCCGTGCCCCTCTGACGGCCGACTTACCCTGTCATGCCCCTGGGGCCTCTGAACTTTGCAAGTAAGATACACCGATGATTTCGTTGTTCTTCACAAGGCTCAAAGAGTTGTTCAGGGCGCTCAAGGGTTCCTATCACAATGGCTCCAACTCATGGGCCGGCAGACCCCTGTCAGCAAGGGGCGCAGCTTTCCATGTTGCCCCTACTGGACCACCAGTCCCATTTTCCCGGTCCCTGTGCGATATGCCCTCATGAGCGGCATGCATCTTTCCATCATGCCCTTGCGCTGGAAATTTGGATTTAGGCACCTCTGCACCCTTGTTTCGACCTAGGATCTTGCAGCAAATAACTTTGAAAAGAATTTCGATGTGACCCTGAGGAAAATTTTGTACAGTTTATTTTTCTGCACAGCATAGTTTTTTTTCGGTTTTTTTGTTTTAAACAGCGACCTTGCCTGGCCCTTCTTTGTCGTTGTGTTATTTATTTTAACGGCAGCCTTCCCTGGCCCTTGCCTGGCCCTTGCCTGGCGTCTTGGTTGGTAACGCAGCTGCATATCGCAAAACAACTACTTATAGAAACAAAACCAGCACTAAGGCACAAAGGACACCACCAAAGCAACACAGGTCCTCTATCAGGACAAGAACACCAAGACGTGGTCAACACCGCCAAACTCTGCACAGCAGGATTAGATCTGTTCCAAATTATCATGTTCAATCATGATTTCCATCAAAACAATATGCGACTCTTTGTAAATGATTGATTGCACAATCCACCAATATGCTAACATAGGCCTTCCCATGACTGGGTTCAGCAAACTTCCTGGCAAGCAACTAATCACTCGATCAATCAATTAATTAATCAACCCACCAGTCCATCCGCACATCCATTCATCCACTCATTCATGAGTTAGCATTCCTGCACGAGTGTGCATGGGTGCATCAGTCCTATCCATCCATTCAATCAAACAATCACGCCGCAGCATACCATGGTACATCAAATATGCACACACACACTAAATAGGCAGGATGCCATCCGCAATGATAAAACACCTTGCTTCCCAGAATATGGGAACCTGGAAATAATTTATGGTCCAGGCAGGCTGGGGGCAGTCCCATGGCCCGACCACAGTGAAAATATAAGAATGACTAAGAAGATCGGGCATCACTGAAACTGAACATGCTGCTGAACCCCGAAGTACTTTACCGACTCAGCAACCTGTGAGCAGTCATACAGCACGTCCACTCGGAAACATTGAAGTGACTAACAAGAAGATAGGCATCACTCCGAACTAGACATGCTGGGACAGTGCAGCAGACCCAAAGACTCTCCAACCCACAGGAATCAGGCAAGGTTATGTCGGACAATCTGTTGCATTGCTGGATCACGACTGTCGAATTTGAAAGAACAGAGGCCAAAGCAAGCTGCAGAGGGAAACTAGTGGTCCACAAAATGAAAACAGTGACAGACCTGCAAAGCATACCTCCCCCTATGAGGAGGTTAAACAGCCTGCAAATGTCAAAAAATTGCATATAAGCAGGGAGAGACCTTAACAAAGTGCACAGAAAAGAGCAACATGTGACTGAAATTGCCGACGAAGTGGCAAAGATGTCACGAACTCCACGTATAAGCCATGAGATAGTCCTTTCCTCAATGAAAGAGAATGTGAGAGCTCACATAGAATGAGCAGCAAGGATGGGTCCAGTTAACAACTCCCATAACAATTCGCTTTGACAGAATTGTGGTATTATTAGAAATTCATACTCGTTGATTTGAAGTCTTTGATCCCTACAATTGACAATCCACATTTGCTAAATACGTATTGGGGCGTTACTCAGATTTGCATTTTCGAGACTGTAATCGGAGCCAAAAATTGGGTGAAGAAAACTCCAGTGCGAGTCTTCTCTCGTGCATCCTACACGAATGGTTGATGCGCATGCATGGTAGTTCGCCATAATACCACATCGCATCTAACAACGAGATAAGAACACAGACACCGGATGTTTCCACTAACACATCGTCAAAAAGGCATATAACCGGGCAGTGAAACATGGAGAGAGACAGACAGACAGACAGACAGACAGACAGAGAGAATGCATGTAACCGAATCCTACATGAGTATTATGTTCCTACGTAGGCTGTGGAAGATGCTGCAAAGCGGATCACTGCCACGTACTGAAAGGGGGGCAAGGAGACACGGAGAAAGAGAGAGAGAGAGTGAGTGAGTGAGAATGCATATAACCGAATTCTACATGTGTTATGTTCCTAGGGTGTGGGAGATGCTGCACAGCGAGGAACACTGCCGCGTACTAAAGCAGCAGTGCTCATGGTGTCTTAAGATTAGTTATGGAAAAACTCCAAAATTTTGAACGGAGATGGAGTGGAACGCTCAGAGCTGCTGCTGTACCGCGCATCCCACACCACTTAGCAGCGTCCAATAATCCAGTCAATCGACTGAGACTGCATAGTGCACCCCACACCATGAAGCAGCGTCAAAAAGTTCTCGAAAACGAACTAAGACCACACAGCAAGACGCAATCCTTTCCGCAATGGAACACAGCAGCATATCTTCTATCGTACAATTGTCCTCCAAACACAAGCACAACCCCCTGATCATGACTGCATACTGATCCTATACGGCCATGATCAGGGTGCATTGGAAATGGATGAAGATGGTACTCGTAGGCAAGGGTTGGGAAGGCCTGCCCAGCTGTGGTGGTGCTTTGACAGACAGGTTCACCGACACATCACATTTGCATTCACAAAAGATCACGGACGAAGATGGTACTCAAGGACGCTCGGCCATGACCTCGTTAATTGCCTACAAATTTTTTACTTTCAGATGTAAAAGAAAAAGATGCAAAAGATGCATTCATGTGATCGATAGATATTCGTAGAAATCAAAGAACTTCAAATAGAAAAACAAGTACCATCAACAACCAATGATCAGACATCAGCTCAGTGGATCGACTACTCGTTTGAAGAAGAGAGAGGGGGGGGGGGAGGCATTCGTGTAGAATAGTAGAAGAAATATTAAACCACCAGTAATTTTTCACAGCTATTTTGTTCGGCCCTGTCCATACACATGCCACGACTTCCGGGGCTTGGGACCACTTTTGCAGGCCATTGACAAAATTCATCAACCACCTGCAGAAGCGGCCCCAACCCCCGAAGGTCACCGCCAGAGGCCATTGGCTGGAAAACAAAGAATCACGAAAATGGCATGGATGCACTCAGTCAGGAATCGGTAAAATCTGATGAAATTTGCTTTAGAGCAGGGTTGCCGGTGTTCGGGACAGGCTGAACGCCCGAAACCGAATGCCCAAACGTTCGGCCGAGCGTGCGCGGACCCAGAAAAAAAAAGAACTCCAAAAAATCTGAAAAAAGAAATGTTATGCAGAAGAATAAACTGAACAACATTTCCTTCAGCGTTACATCCAAATTCTTTACCAAATTTGAAATAAAAATCAAATACTACAAATAAATAATAATAATGAAAATTAGAAAAAATAAAACGACAATGAAATTATTGAGTGGGCGAGCACGTTTTTGACACTGCCATCTGTGGCGATTTTTCTTTTTTTTTGGCTGTGACAAATGCCACGAAAATTTATATGTGTATCTTGCATAATAGAGAATCTACAAATAAAGTTCGAAAAATTTATAATTTTTTTCATGCCCCGAAATAAAGGAAAAACAAAAAGTGAAAAGAGAGAAAAAACAAACTAGTGAGTGGGCAAGCAATTTTTGACACCACCATCTTTGCCGATTTTTCTTTTTTTTTTTGGCTGAACAGAATGGCTTTAAAATTAAGAAGGAGATACCTTGCATAACAAAGAACTCACAACAAAAATGTCAGAAAAAATGTCTTTTTTTGTGGGGTCCGAACCCCTTTGGGTTCGGGCCCCATACGGGGACCCGAACGTTCGGGGGTCAGCTTAGGGGCCTCCATACGTTCGGCTTGGCAACCCTGCTTTCGAGTACAAATTTCATAAACTAAATTACAAAAGAGGATAAATTAATATGCCCGTGAGCTCATGCTACCCATTGGGAGAGAACTGAAATTTCCATTCGAATTTCCAGAAAAGAAAAAGAGATTAGAAAAAGGAACAGGAACTCATGACAAAGCCTACAGCAAAAAAAAGGGATTACAACAAAAAGAACAGGGACTAATGCAAAATTGCAAAAATCACAAACCTGTGGTTTGTTGGTTCTTTCAACACGTGTCTGCACCACATGACAGAATCAAGAAAACACAGAAAACCAAAAAAAAAAAGAAAAAAAGGGAGAAGCGCACAAGAGTTACTACGCCCTTGAAACACCATAATTCTTTCAGTCACTCAATTATATACTAAATACCCACCACCCATTAGCAAAAGTTGCCTGGGAGAGGTAGTGATGGTTAGTATTCTCATTCATTATTGTATTGATTCTTTTTTTTGGTTGATGTTTTCTTTCTCAGAGCTTTTTTCTTTTTTTTTTTGGTTCAGAATTCCCTTCATCAACTGGCATAAACAAAAACCTCAGAAAATAAACAAAATAAAAAGAGATTGAAGTCTGATAAGTTGGGTAAGCCCCGTCAAGACCCCACACTTCAATAATTTCATCAAATTTGTTTGTTTGTTTTTTTTAACCACTGTACATCAACACCAAATCCATGACCAAGCACCCACCACCCAGATCAAGAAGAGTGCAAGGCTGGCCATGTTAGTGGTTAAACTGCCAGCTCACATAGGCCTAAGTTGGAAAAGGAAAAAAAAAACGTTAACAAAGTTAATCTTTTGTGTGTTTTCAAAACCACAGTTTATCAACACCAAATCCACCACCCAGCATCCACCATTCAGGTCAAGAAGAAGAGTGCAAGGCTGGCCAGGTTAGTGGTGGTTAAACCGCCAGCTCACACTGGCCCTAAGTTGACAAAGCTACCTTCAGAGGCTTGCAAAGCCTGCAACTCCACCCCCTCAAAGTGGCCTGCCACTTCAGAGGCCGCCCGAGGCTCGCGAGCTGCAACTGCATCCTTTCGGAGTGGCCAGCCACTTCCGTTAGCGGCCCAAGCCTGAATCAAATGCTCTTATCTCATATATGTAAGAGGACTACTTACGTTTGTGTGAACTGGTGGTTTAAACCACCAGTACTTGGCCCATATGTCATCCGCGGGGCGTTGTCGTTAACGCCCCGCAAGTTTCGGAGGCCCGGGGTACCGGACCTGAAAGGCTGACATCGCCAGCCAAAACAATTTTTTTTTGTTTCGCTGGTGGGTCGGCGAGAAACGGCGCGCAGGGCATATTCAGGCTCGGCATCGATAGCTGGGCCAAGTACTGATGGCTTAAGTGCCACCGCACCCACACACCCATCTGCTTGAAAGGTCCACTTGGGGTGTGTGCTGGGGGGGAGAGGAAGCACGAAGCATGAAGCACAAAATCCACAATGCTTCACGAAAGCACTAAGCACGTACCATGAAGCATCGAAGCACGGACCACGTACTACGAGGGGGCAAAGCGGGGGGGGGGGGGGGGGGGGGGGGGGGGGGGGGGAAGGTTTGAAAACCGTAGTTCGCATATATGTAAGAGGACTACTTAGGTTCATGTGAACTCGTGGTCTAAGTGCCACTGCACCCACACAACCATCTGCTTACAAGGCACACTTGGGGTGTGGGCTGGTGGAGAGAGGGCAGGGAAGGTTTGGAAAAAAACGTGGTTTTCCAGAGAGCGGAAGTCTCGACAGCCAGAAAAGTGCCCTCACCACTCAGCCCATGTAAGCGTCAATGAACAGATCATGAGTTCAAAGCTAGCTGATGGAGTCAGGCAAGGTAAGATCACATTAGGGCCTAAGACCCCTTTGTAAAACAAACAGACAAAAACTCGAACAAAAAGTACACCCCCCTGACCAGTCCTTCGGGACAATACAGAGAAGATTAGCATAATCCCTCGCAAGCATGAAACGCATAAGTCAAAAACGGTCCAAATGAAGGGAGGGGGGGTGGGGGGGGGGGGGGGGGGGAAGTGCCCTGACCAGAAAAACCTTAATTTAAACCACCACCCCTCTACCCGGCTTCAGAAAGTTGGGGGACCGGTATGGACCCTGAAATTTTTACAATTTTCAGCAAATTTTTCTGCGCACGAAAAATCACCAAAGTTGCCGTACTACTTCTGCTGTTAGCCACACATGGTGAAAAATGGAGAGGTGCCGAATTTCACGGGAATTTTTACTTATTTATTCTGATACTTTTCCTGGAAAGATCACGACCTAATCTACGGACCCTCAAATTTTTAGAATTTTCTGTGAATTCATCCGAGCACGAAAAATCACCAAAGGCGCCGGTTTGAAATTGCAGGACTAGGCCCGCCAGTTGGCAATCATCCGTCCAGATTCACGAGTTCCATCCAATCCTCTTTTTTCTAGTGTTCCGGGCGCGTACTGCGTATCGGGCTTCTTTCAAGTGTTTTTTTTTTGTAAAAGGAGATTACTTTGACCTCTCTATTGACAAAAATATTATCGATATAAAGAGCAAATAAATCCACAAAAAGAAATATGTTGTATACTGTGTGTGGGGACGCAGAGTATACGTATCACCACTTGTTGACTTACCCACTACACTTCTAGACTCGATTATATCTGGGGAGAGACGTGCACGGGGTGGTAGAGAAAGGGGGGAGGAGAGGGGTGGTAAAGAAAGGGGGCGGGTGGAGGAGGAGGAGGAGGAGGAGGAAGGCAATGCGCCAGCACCGCCTAAGGGGTCAGTTGTCAAGGCTGCGGCTGCTCCTGAAACTGTGGTGGTTATGCGGAGCAACCGTACTGGATGCGCCAGCCATATGCCTTGCTATCCAGCTGGCCCTTTTTATATGGATTTCTTTTTTTTTTTGGTTATAAAAAAAATATATTTAAATCAGATGGATTATGACACTGCCCTCCTCGTCCCATTCGACAATCGCCTTTAAAAGAAAAAGGCAAATTGACAAAAAAATTATCCACGTGGCTAAGGGTGATCGGTCTGGATTTTGGGAATGTCACCAAGGAGGGGGGAGGGGTTAAGGGGGGTAAGGGGATTACGGAGTGGCAGAGCGAAATATGTGGAGACGGGGAGGGGTACCAGCCCCACAAATTAACAGGACATCCATTCCAGTAGTTCCATCTGGATCCGAACGTACGTCTGCATTTCAACAGTTAGTGTATGTACCATCTGAGCTAGGCCCGCTGGTAATTCGCGTGTATTGTTCCGTACTTGGTGCTGCGACTCTTAGTATGGGACCGCAGCTGCCCTTGAAAAAAAGTCACACCACACGTACACTTTTTTTTTTTCCTTCTTTCCAAGACAAAGACTTAATTCCCGTACTTGTAATTAATTGCAAACCGGCTTCCTCCGAATAGAACGTATGTTCATTATCGCTGTGTCGAGTCAAACAGAGCTGCCCGGTAAACCGTAGGCAGAGAGGGAGAAGAGGACAACAGCGTTATATATCATCACATGAATATGAGAGCGCAAAAGCGAAAAAAAAAGAAAAAAAAAGCATGAATTCGTTTTTTTATATATATCTTCTTCCTTATATAGGGTTCAGTCTCCTGATGAGTCGGTGAAATTCCGATGAAACAGTTTGTCACAGGCCCTCGTTTCTTGTCCTCTTCTCCCTCTCCGCCTACGGTTTACCGGGCGGCTCTGTTTGAGGGAGAAGAGGACACGAAACGAGGGGCTGTGACAAACTGTTTCGTCGGAGTTTCACCTCCCTACTCATCAGGACGTTGAACCCTCAACACTCTGCAGAATCCCCTAACTGATTACACTAAGTGATAATCCACCAGAGGCAGAGAGGGAGTGATAATACACCAGATGGAAATCTCTCTCTCTCTCTCTCTCTCTCTCTCTCTCTCTCTCTCTCTCTCTCTCTCTCTCTCTCGCTCGCTCGCTCGCTCTCGCTCTCTCTCGCTCTCTCTCGCTCTCTCTCTCGCTCTCTCTCTCTCTCGCTCGCTCGCTCGTCAAACAGAGCTGCCCGGTAAACCATAGGCAGAGAGGGAGTAGAGGACAACAAACGAGGGGCTGTGACAAACTGCTGCGTCGGAGTCTCACCGACTCATCAGGACCGAGTTCACGACAGCACTAACACCACCTCCTGTCGAACCAAAGCTTTTCGTAAAACTCCATTCTTCTTCGTGTTAATCTTTTTTTTCCTCTCTTTCTTCTCTTCCTTCCTCCTTTTTTCTTTTCAGCAAATTGAATTTATTACCAATTTATTTTTGGACAAAATCTCCACGACTTTGCCTAGACCTAAACCAACCATTGTGTCATCAAGCGGAAAGGCAGGCTCCATTGCTGCTGTACTCATGCTAAGACAGCGACAACCTGGTCAGTTTCACGACCAGGTTCATGCTCTCCAAGGACAAACATAAACGCAGTGGAGCCTGGCTCACAGTCTGAAGACGCCCACAATCTCGCTAGGAATTGGACGTATCTGACCAAAATTACGTCCCCAATACCTTTCGGCCGCAGGTACTACTAAAGAGACAGAGATGTAATTATGCCCTGCATCTTTCCATTCTATTCTTTTTTTTTTTCCCTTTACTGCTACCTCCCCTACAAGAGGAACCAATCAGGAGCAATTCTCTTTTCTTGCAAAACACACTCACTACCGTCTTCCCCTGAACATAAAGCACCCCGATTTTGACCGTATCGAACCCGAAAGCTAGCTTGTATACGACCTTTTGTTCAAGAGAAGACAAAACTGGGCAAGCCGGCGGCTTCAACCGACTACCGCCCACCACTGCTCGGCATGTGACCTCTTCTTTGTCTCCAGCCTCCCCCCCCCCCCCCCCCCCCCTTTTTTTAACTCCAGCCACCCCCCAGGATCCATATAAAAAGCTCCCCAGAACAATTTTCACAGCGTTCCCTCCCAGATAGTACAGAACACTACCGAATGAGAAAACGCAGGGGGGCAAAACGAGCCGAGGCACGACTAATCCCTCTACCGCAATCAGTGAAAATCTTGGAGTTGCTTTTTCATTATTGACGACTGCCCGGGAAACCGACGAACTCTCCTTCCCATGCTTTCCTCTCTCTCTCTCTCTCTCTCTCTCTCCGTAAACACCCACACACCGGGTTAACACTTTATTGCCAGGCGTAGGTCCTCCTCGCTTCACTTATCTCCAAATGCGTCAAATCGCGAGTGCATCTTCAGCTGGAAGGTGGAAAGATACAATAATGGCCATTATTTTTGCCTTGTTCACATCTGGCGAGTGGTGGAGCGAGTGGAGCGAGTGCCTTTTGTCGCCTAGTTCACAAGCTGGACGGAACCGGGCAACACAGTCAGAGAAAAGGCTTGCCTGCCTCATTTCCTTGTCCTCAAATTCCAACGCTTCCATCATGCTGAAGATGGTCGTCACGTGCACAGTACACTAACAACATTCTTTCCCGTCTGTATCCCGTTTGTTTGCCGTCTGTATCCCGTTTGTTCCCCGTCTGCATCCCGTCTGTATCCCGTTTATTTCCCGTTACAAGCAGACTCGTACTGTTGTCTTTTGCAGAAGCATTAGAATCAATCAACAGCAGAAAATTGATTAGTGGAAAAACAAAATGAATTTGATTGTTCTGGACAAAAGATCCCCGATATCGCGAGCGCGATTTAATCTCTCTCACAAGCTAAACGAACCAATCAAGCAACCAATCAATCAATCGACCAATCAATCGACCAACCAATCAATCAACCAATCAATCAAGCATTCAATCGATCAACCACTCGATCGATCAACCAATCAATAGATCAACCATTGACAACCAATCAATTGATCGATTAATCAATCAAACAATCAATTAGTTACTGAACTAATCAATCACCAGAATAAAATAATGATCTTCCGGACCTAACCAATCAATCAACCCATAGGTTTGACAATTCGATAGCTTGACAGCCAGAGCGGACTAATTAATCAATTGGTAGAGTAATCAATAAACACCCCGCTGCCTCATTAGATTCGTTAGGACAAAAACAAAAAAAAAAACTATGAGCCTCATTGCAGAAGGAAAAAATATATATAAACAAAAGAAAAAACAAAACTCATTGCAACACCGACTTGTAAACCCGATACGGTCAAAAAAAAAAAAACTCAGAATCTTCTGCTCGGTAAAATAACCCTTCCACCTATCCACACTACCCAAGAAACCACTAAACAAATTGTCGTAATTTAGTCATCCGCTTCCAGTGGAGTTTCGACTCAGGCCTGCAGTTCAACAGTTCAGGGGTAGGCCACAGTTGGTGTAACCCCTAAACCGCCTGCCTACCCATCTCTTCCACTTTCCTATTAAGGTACGACACCTATACATAGTGCGGCCGCCCCATCGACAGCCGAAGGGTCGCAACAGGCAAATTGTGTGATATCTACGTAGGGAGCACGAACCTGGTCCAAAAGGAGACCACTTACGTGCACATTACCTTCGCACGGTATTCCAGTCAGTGGAAGGAAGTAGAGTGACCATTAGCGTCTTCACGAGAATAGAACGCCGAGACATTATGATTATACGAATAGCTGCATTTAGACGGAAAGTTGGCCCAAATACATCTAGAACGGGCGCGTGAAGGAGGTAGTCGACATTCACTGGAGTTTATCACCGTCAGACGAAGGGTACCATCTCCATACTCGGGGGTCATGCATTTTCTTTATCAATCTTAATAAATATCCTAGTAATTACATATAAGAAAAGTAACTTAAACACATATTGGCTTTATATCGACCTCTTCTTATTCAGAGAGAGCTGCTGCACCACGCTCTGCAGTCAGTAGTGCAATGGACCTTTCGCGACGAACACGTACTCTCCCAAAAATCATAGTTTGACCAACAGGACTATCGGAGTTGGTACACCGTTCAAAGACCTCAGTTCCAATCCTAATCAGCCTAGCTGAATGGGATAAAATAATTCTCAAAATTACCTGCAGGCCATGATATCTCAAGAGCATTGCCCTTAATAAAAAAAAAATCATAGTGTCCTTTGGAACACGTACTCTCCCAAAAATCATAGTGTGACCAACAGGACTATCGGAGTTGGTACACCGTTCGACTGTTGAAAAAAATACAGACCTCAGTTCCAATCCTAATCAGCCTAGCTGAATGGGATGAAATAATTCTCAAAATTACCTGCAGGCCATGATATCTCAAGAGCATTGCCCTCAATAAAAAAAAAAACATAGTGTCCTTTTAAAACACGCCTTTAAATTAAATTAGAACGATAAAGAGAAGATTAATTAACATGGGCCTTGCGCATAGTGGATGACATGCATAAATTGAGATAAGGAGAAGATTAATTAGCATGGACCTTGCGCAAGGATGACATGCACAAATTGAGAAACGGTCCAATTTAGTGACAATAAAAAGAAAAATGAAAAAATGATCTGGAAAAAAAAGTGGATCATATGATCGCACAGCTCATCTTAAAGGTAAGAACACCATACGAACTCCATCCACACTCCCGGGGGGGG